TGCAAAAACGCCCCCACTATCCCCCTGGCAGGCATCCTGCTTTAGAGACGGGTGCCCAGCACAGAACATGTTTTGAGAGAACACATCCATCCTATTCTTTCCCCGGAGCCAGGTCTCACAGTCCTCTCGATTAGCTACGGGCAGACGGACAAACCTGAGGTCATGAGCAATCTTCTCCTCCATGACCCCAAAGCCACTGATGTAGCCCATCAAGCCCAGGTCATAGAAGGTCTCGTTGTCAGGGAGGCAGATGGGGAGGAGGTTGGGACCCAGGGTGACACTATTTTCCAGCTCCAGCAGGGCGATGTCCCCCTCAAAATTGTGGGACTCATCCTGACGGTAGTCCGGGTGGATGCTGACCCTGCGGATGGGGTGACTTGCCAGCTTCATGAGCTCTTCCACATTTATGTGGCCCAGGAACACATCCAAGGGGACATTGCTTTGTGCATCGTGTTCCTTGGGATACAGGGTGTGGGCAGCCGTGAGGATCCAGCAGTCGCCCAGCAGGGTCCCGCCCCTGTTCCCGTGGATGTTGGTGAACACCTGCCAGGGGAAGTTGCCCATCTTGGCTTTTTGCCCTCTGATGATGCGCTGCCTCTGTTCCATGGGGTTCATGGGCTTCCCACACACTGAGGGAGAGAGAGGGAAGACAAGGGCAAGTCAGCTCCGGGTCTCCCACCTCTTCCTTCTGCGGCCTGCCAGCTCCCCGTTTGCCCTCTCTTTTTGACTTGTCTCTTTTCTCTTTTTCCTCCCATCTCCACACTTCCTTCATTGGCCTATTGACAGGCTCTTCTTGTTTTTGTTTTTATTTTTGTTTTTTGAGACTCCTTGCTCTGTGGCCCAGGCAGGGGTGCAGTGGCGTGATATCAGCTCACTGCAACCTTTGCCTGCCGGGTTCAAGCAATTCTTGTCCCTCAGTCACTCTAGTAGCTGGGACTACAGGTATGTGCCACCATGCTTGGCTAATTTTTGTATTTTCAATAGAGGCTGGGTTTCACCATGTTGGCCAGGCTGGTCTCGAACTCCTGACCTCAGATGATCTGCCTGCCTCGGCCTCCCAAAGTGCTGGGATTACAGGTGTGAGCCACCACGTCTTGCCCCTTGTTCTTGTTTATTTCTTCCTGGGGTGTCTTCCGTTGTTTTTATTCTCTGATTTCCCATCTGCTTAGTGAAAATGCCGGCATTTCGGGACTGAATTCAGCACTCTTCCCCTCTCTCGCTTTCTCCTGGTATGTTCCCCTCTCCTCTCCTCTGTCTCCTTTTTCTGGGCCATGCTGCTTCTGAGGACTTTCAGGCTGCTAACCATCCTGAGGATGGCCCCAGAGGGTTTCCACTCACCTGGCAAGCACCGAGAAATCTTCCCTTCCTTCTGTTCATTCTTCCAAATGCCCTGTGCTGTGCAGGTGTACAGCCCCGAGGGCAGAGGAGGCAAGAATCAAGTTGGGAGGTGATGGGTAAGAAAATTAGGTTGCAGAGGCCAGCAAGTACTGAGTGTGCTCAACGGGGAGAGGGGTAGGGAGGAACAACATGGCAAGGGCCAAAGGTCAAAGGCTCAACTCTAGAAGGAAAAAATGTCAAATGTTCAGAGGCTCTAGACCTGTATTTTGTTTTAATGTCAAGTAAAAAAGTCGGAATGCTTAACCATTAATATATGTTTGCTGTGATCCCTGTTTGTGAAAGTAGACATAAAAACCAGAAGGAATGTATCAAAATCTTATCAGTGATTGCGTCTTAGTCGTGGAATCATAGATGATAATTGTAGCTACATCTTCTGATTGCTGAAAATGTGCCATGCTTCTTACTTTATCCGCATGATCTCATTTAAACACTATAGTGACACTTGCAGGTGTGTGTTATTATCCTCATTGTGGATGAGCAGGCTGAGCTTAAATAATTTGCACAGGGTCACATAACTTCTAAGTGCCAGAACCAAGGTGCAGGAGGTTTTCTGACTCCAAAGTCCAGCTCTTAATGAATACCATTTATAATCCAGATTGTTTTCCTTTTTTTTCTGTTTCAAACCTATAATGCATGTGATTTCTAATATTTAAAAATAGTTTGAAAAATACCCACTAATAAGTGAGAGTCATTTAGTAAAACTAAGTGCAAAAATCACAACCAGGTTGAGAGAGGAGAATGGAGAGGGGAGTTTCACTGAGTTAGCTGTAGTGGTCATGATGGTGGCAAAGACTGTGGTGTCGGTGTTGGTGGTGATGGTGGTGTTGATGTTGGTAATGGTGGTGGCAATTGTGATGTCGATGTTGATGATGACAGTGGTGTTGTTAATGGTGGTATTGTTAATGGTGTTAATGGTGGTGGTGGTATTGGTGGTGATGATGGTGTTGGTAATGGTGATGGTGGTAAAGGTGGTGGTGATGGTAGTGTTGGTGTTGGCAATGGTGGTGGTGGTGATAGTGGTGTTGTAATGGTGGTGGTGATCATGGTAGTGTTGACAATGGTGTTGGTTATGATGATAGTGGTGATGGTGGTGATGGTGGTATTAGTGTTGGTGGTGATGATGATGTTGGTAATGGTGATGGTGGTGATGATGGTGTTGGTAGTGTTGATGGTGGCACTGGTGTTAGTAATGGTGGTGATAGTGGTGTTGGTAATGGTGGTAATAATGGTAGTGGTGATGGTGGTGTTGGTAATGGTAATGGTATCGATTGTGGTGATGGCAGTGATGGTGGTGATTGTGCTGGCATTGATGCTATTGGTAGTGTTGTTTGTGTTGTTACTGGTAGTGGTGGTGATGGCAATGATGGTAGCAGTGGGGATGTGGTGGAGGCAGTGGTGGTAGAGGGGATGATGTGGTGACAGTGAGCTGTTTATGTGATTTGAATCTTTTCTTTGCATCAGCTCCTCCTTCTTCAAACCTACTAGCTTCCTCTTTGCGCTACAATTCAGGCCCCTGAAGCCAGTGCCCTGGCAGATACCTTAATATGCATTCCCTAGGGATTCTACTGGGAGAAATCTCAGAGGATACCCCAAGGGGATGGAAGGGAGAAAATTTCCATTTGCGTTAGTCCCTACTTTGCTCAGACTCCCTGCTGCCAGCCCTGGTCTGCATCTTGTAATATGGCTCGTGGCAGTAGTACTGGATACAGGCCTTGTAGGTGTTCACCCCCATTGTGGTGGTGTAATGGAAGGCAGATTTCGGGGCTGCCCACAGTCCTTGACTTGGAGAGAACACAGGGCAGGGTGAGAGCTGAGAAAGACTGTGCTGGAACTTTAGTGGTGACAGTGTGAGTTGTCTACCTGCAGAGCACGTTGAGAGGCTTAGAAAAAATAGTCAGTGGCGAGGGCCCTTACAACGGACAGGAGTTGGGTGGTGTGAAATTCAGTTCTGGGTAGAGCCCATCCATCCCATTGAGATGAGGACTCACTGATTCCTGAGATGAGGGCTCACTGATTCCTGAGATGGGCCATAGGCATCAAAGGACAAGTCTCTTTGACCCTCATCCAAGGGTGAGGGTCTGTTGGAAAGAGGCTTAGTCTGGACCCCTCCTTCTTTCTTGGCCCAGGTCCTCAAGGTTGGAGGTGGGAAGTCCCCAGGATCATATCCCTGAATTGTGACTTACTGTTGCATCTGGGCATGGCACGATGCCATGTGCCATCATCCTGGCAGACAGCTGTGAAGGAGTGCAGCACCTGGTTCCCCTGTTGAGCAGAGGAACAGGCGCCATCAGTGCCAAGAGGCAATGCAGGTCCCCTTCTTGCCCTTCCCACACAGGAGTGGGAGGCAATACAAAGACATCTCTCAGCTCCACCATGAATGTGGCTCCTTCTTCCTTCTCCCCAGCCTGTTACAGACAGGAGAACTGAGCTATACTGCAGCAAGTCAGAGCGGGACTAATTGATAGACCCGATCATCCTCTCTCTAGACTGTGGCCCGTTCCCACTGAGGTACAATTGAATCCCACAATTTGTAATTAAAAAAATCACAAGCCACGTTTGAGTGTTTTTTTGTATCAAAACAAAAGCCTGTGCTCCAGGGCAGAACCATGTTTCTCTGGCTGGAGTCCCCTGCCTCCAGGCCTGCAGCACTTTCTCTCTCCTGGGTTGCAGTTTTCCTAAGGACAGAGGCCTTCCCTGAAATCCTAGAGCCACCTCACCCCGTTGAAAGGTGCTGGAGACGTTGATGTATGTGAAGTGCTGTTGCTGTTGAGCAGGGACAAGACTAGGAAATGGCAGTCTTTGAAATGAAAAGTTACTGGACAATATGAATGAGTTTTACTAAGACCAAAAATTGGCCAAGTGCGGTGGATTACGCCTGTAGTCCCAGCACTCTAGGGGGCCAAGGCAGGTGGATCACTTGACGCCAGGAGTTTGAGTCAAGTCTGGGAAAATTGAGAAACCCTATCTCTACCAAAAATACAAAAATTTGCCTGGCACGGTGGCACTTGCCCGTAATTCCAGCAACTCCGGTGGCTGAGGTACCTGAGTAGCTTGAATCCAGGAGCAGCGCTTGAACCTGGGAGGCGGAGTTCACAGTGAGCGGAGATCATGCCACTGCCTGGGTGACAGAGCAAGACTCTGTCTCAAAAACAAAATAAACCCAAAAAGACCAAAAATCATCCCATAGAGTTAGCCCTGGTTGCAAAAGAATGTGTGTGAGAACTAGACCGTCTGAGTAAAATGTAGGTAATGTGAGAAACGGTGTGACTTGTTTTAAATTCTATGTTGTGAATGACATGTGCAAAAGTAAGGGCAGTGGGTGGTGCAGGCAAGGGAGGGTTGTAATATGGGCAAAGAGGTTGTTAGTCTCCAGTCCTCTGGACCCAGGACACCCACCCAATCCTCCTGATGGAGATGGAAGCACCTTGGAATAAAGAACAATGCATCAGATGAACTCGACTTGATGCAACATTCAAATGTGAGCTCCACAAAGGCTGTGTGACTTTGTGGGTTTCTTTTTACTGAACCTCCCACATCTAGGACAGTGCCTGACTAATTAATGTGCATTAAATGAATTAACTATGACTTAAGCACATGTCATAGGTCTCTTCTTTGATTCTGATTAAGTCTTCCGTGTGGACCTATTGAGCAACGAAGGGATGTCCAGTCTTGGGTCTCTGTCCAGAGAGACAGATAATTTTTAGTTTACCAGCTTTTGTGAGATTGATCCATGGATAAAACCATATTCCTTCCTGAATCTGCAGAGCTGAGGACAGGACGGTGGGCCCGGGGTGAGACCACCCACATGTGTAAAAGAGCCCTGGAGCAGGAGGCAGGAGATTGGGGTCCTAGTCCCTGCCGTAGAAAATCACTATGTGATGTTGATGAGTCACGACATCTCCACCCTGCCTTTCCAGTTCCTTCAGCTTTCTTGATTACTGGACGAGAGCAATAGTTCTTAAACTTGGCTGCACGTTAGAATCACCTGGGTAGCTTTAAATAGTCTTGTTGCTCAGGCTCTACTCCAGATCAATGGAATGAGAGTCTCTGCTGGGGGCTCTTGACTTCAGTATTTATTGATTGATTGATTTTTATTTTTTAGAGACAGCGTCTGGCTATATTGCTCAAGCTGGAGTGCAGTGGCTATTCACAGGGGCCTTGTATGATTGGGCTCAAGCAATCTTCCAGGATCGTAAACTCTCTGTTTTAAGTGTGCAGCAAGTTGGAGAGCTGGTGGACCAGGAGACTCTTCCAGCTGAAATGCCTATGACTCCAGCTGGGGTGAGACTAAATCCTCTGTGAACACACCATCTGAATTCCCCCTGGGATGCTGGGCCGGCTCTCTCCCCTCAGCCCTGGGCTCTTACCTCTATGAGCTGGTAGCCTAGCTTGCAGGTAGCAATGAAGTAGTCACGGAATTGGTACTGAGGCTGCAGGTTCTGGATGACGGTGAACTCGTCTAGGGTCTTGGGCTGGGGACACTTGATAACTACTGGGGAGACCAGAGGGCGAATTTATTTGAGAGCCACCTGCCCTTCCTTCTTCCCACCTTTTCCCCATTGCTGGCCATTGAGGGAGGCCCCCAGGGAGCCTTACTCTCGGTGGTGTAGCGCAGCCTCCAGCCCCAGCTGTCCCCCGACTCATCTGTGAAGAACAGCAGATCCACAGCATTGCTGCTGGTGTCAAGGTCGGGGGGGGCTTTGCTTCCCACAGAACTCGCCAATGTTCTTCCCGTTGGCATAGATATAGTAGGAGAGGAGGTTTTTTTTTTTTTTTTTTTTTTTTCCAGCTTGGACATTTTTACACAGGGCCAACTGTGTAGTAGCCTGGTGGCCAGGGTGGTGGTGGTGATGAAATCCTGCCTTATGTGTGTTTTCAGGGGAAAGTGGAAAGGGATCCCCACAACCCAATTCCAGTTATGTGGGAACTTGCCCAGCCCATGGTTGATGTTGGCCATTCCTGCCCCAGCTGGCCAGGGGATCCAGGAGGAAGTTGAGACAAGAGGAGCTAAATGCAGACAGAAGAGGAGGAAGGGGTCTTTCAGGGGTAGGACGGCTGTACCTGTAGCTGGTCATAGGGGCAGTGTACTTGCTGGTGGTCATCAATTTCAAAAGGCTCCACGAACTTGAGGTGCGGGGTGAGGCCCCACTCTACCCGGATGCTGTAGTTGCAGCGCAGGTCAGCGGGGTAGGACCGGGGGTACTCCAGGCTGGAGATGTAGCCCGATGCCTCCGTGTACAGCTCGCTGCTGCACTCAACTGTGAGAACAGAGCCGCAGGGCATCATGGGGCCACTCTGGCTGGCTCAACCCCTGCCTCCCTGCTACACCACTCTGGCTCACCCTGGCAGGAATACCTGTCCTTCTGAAGCTCATAGCCTGGACGGCAGGAACAGAAGTAGCCTCCAGGCTGGGCGCAGTGGCTCAAGCCTGTAATCCCAGCACTTTGGGAGGCCGAGACGGGCGGATCACGA